TATTCAGACTTTAAAAAATCTTTCATACTATATACTAATGCTTTCAGTTTTGAATTAGAAGTAATTTTGATATAAAAAGATAAAAAAAATAATGAATATATAATCACTTATACTAGTAAAAGAACAAATAACACTGAGAAAAATTATTATGCAACTGAATTAGAATATTTAGCAATAGTTTGAGTAATATAACTATTCAAATCATACTTATATTCTAATATTTCTTTCATTTTGATAACTGATTACAATGCTTTAAAAAGTTTATTTAATAAACCAAAAATTTCTAGAAGACTTATATGCTGAATTTTGACTTTAAAGAATTATAACTTCAAAATTGAATATTATAAAGACTAAATCTATTCTAATATAGATATCTTATCAAGATATTTCCAATCAAAACAACTTAGATCCAAAAGAAATAAGAAAATATATTATCAAAAACTGCTTAATAATTATTTAATATACTCTTATCTGATTATTTAACTTGAATATAATAAAATTACTTGAATATTCATAACTCACCACTTATTTAGATATTCTAGTCATATCAAAAGAAATACCAGAAAAAGATTAATAAGTTCAAAAATAAAGCAAAGTTATATTTAGTAAAGAAAGAATTAGAATAGTCTTTAAAAGTGATTAAAGTTAATAAAATAGAAAAAATATTATTCAATAATTATACAATAATATATACTAAATATTTTGATATTAAAATAACTTATTATAGAATTGCTCAAAATTATTATTAGTCTAAGATGCATTCTGATATTGAAAATTATATAAAAATATGTAATAAAGATGGCTCCTCAACTATTGCAATGTGATAACAAATAAAGCATCATCTAGTTGTAACTAGTTGTGACTTATAAAATTTTGAAATTGCAATGTGTTGCAACAGATAACAAATAAGTATCATATACTTGCTACACCATCTTTAGTATATAATATATGTTAATATAAAGAAAAAATCAGAAGAAATAATACATTACATCCTATAAAAAATAAAAAATCTTTTGAGAAAATAGAAATAAATTTAATTGGATTACTTATGCTAACAAAAGATAATTATAGATACATAGTAGTTGCTATAGACTATTATACTAAATGGTAGAAGCAAGACTAATTTTAAATAGTTTAGCAGAAGTAATAGTATCATTTTTATATGAAGATATTTTCTGTAAATATAATTTTTCAAAAAAAATAATATCAGATAGAGGAATAATATTTGCTAATGAATTGATAAAAGAATTATTTGAAAAATATCAAATTAAATATTATTTATCAACATTATATTATCTTCAAACTAATAGATTTATAGAAAGATTGAATAGAATATTATGTGATGCTATTAGAAAATTAGTATAGTTACATGAGAAAGAATAGAATATATATATATATTTTTAGTATTTTTTGCTTACAAAATAATAAAATAAAGTTCACATCTTTCTATTTTACCTATAATAGACAAGTCATCATATTATTAGATCTTAAATTAAAATTAATTAATAATAAAGAAGATATTATTTTAAATAAATTAGTTAAAAAAGCTTGCACTATTATAGATAGATTGGAATTAAACAGATCTATTACTTAACAAAATGTACAAAAATTCTAATAAAAACAAAAAGAAATTTATTAATAAGATAAAAATTATTAATCTTTCTTTATTAAAAATAAAATTTTAATAAAAAGAATGAAGATCTAGCATAGGAATCATGAAAAATTTGCTCAGAAATGAAAAGAACTATATTACATTCATCAAATTTTTGATAAAGATGCCTATAAATTAAGAATATTAGATGGTAAAATTCTTAAAAATTCTTATAATAGTGATTATCTAAAATTATATCTTGAGAATAATAGATTAGAATCTAGAATTATTATAAAAAATTAAATATTTCTAGTCCTAAAAAATCAGAATTTGGTACTGATAAGTCATGACTTTTACTGATATAAAGAATTAATCAAATAAAAGCAAAACTCTATCAATTTTATAATAAATCAAATAACTAACATATCTACTTAAAGTCTTACTATCTTGTTAGTAGAAGAATACTATTACTTTAAAAGCTATTATTCAAAATATATCACTCATAATTAATTCTTTAGAATATTATATATTAACAACTCTAAATATTGGGGTAACTCTTTTTATATTAGTTATTAATACTATTAATATCTAGAAGTTAAGAAAATCATTCTAACTGAAGATTAATTAGAATAATAATATCAAAATCACTAGTATAGTTTACAAAATTACTATTATTATTAATATAAAAATAGAAAAAAAATAAATTATAAAGATTGTAGATTATGCTTCATTAATAATAAAAAAGAAAAGTTTATTATCAGCCTTACAAAAGAAAATGAAGAAGAGATTACTCATTCATCACAAATTAATTTTCAAAAAGAAGAAGTTCTATTTCTTAATACAAGAAAAAGATGAAAAATTTCTCACTCTATTACTTATCTTGAATACTATTGAAATATAGATAAGAAATTGTATCTTTCTATATTCTCTTGAGAATATATTGAATTAAAAGAAGAGAAGTTTCTTCCTCATTTTCTATAATATTTGAAAAGTCTAGTATTACTTTATGAAATATATAACTCTAACTCTAATAGTTATGATTTGACTAAAGATGTCTCCTTAACTAATTACAGCTTGCAGCAGTTAATCAGAGAGTTACGACAGAGTTGCAGCAGCCAATCAGAGAATTGCAATAGAGTTGCAGCTAGTTGCAGCTCCTATCACTAGATTTGACTTCAAAAGATATCAGAATCAATTAGTGTTTAGAATATAAAGTCATCTAATCTATCAATTATTAATCAGATAATCAAGAACATAATAAAAATAAAAGTAACTTACCTTTTATTCAAGAAGCTAAAGAGAATAGTAATAAAGCCACCTATAAATATAATTAGAATATTACTAGTATCTTATAAACAGTAATAACTAATAGAAACAAAAATAATAGAGAAAATAATAATATTATATTACAGTTATCTTTTATATTATCTGATTCTCAAAATTTTAAATTTTAAGAAAGAAAAATATTATAATTATATTCTATATGATCAAATAATAATTATCTTTACAATCCTATGACATGATAATAATAATAATATAAATATAGAGAGATAAATGATAATATTTATCAGTTTAATAGTGAAACAGATTTACAAATTTCTAATAAAGAAAAATAAAAAGATAATAATAATAATAAAATAATATTGTTGTCTTTGTCAAACTAATAAAACTTATAAAAAAATCACATCATTAATAATAATAAAATAAATGATGAAGAAGTATAGTTTCACTATGAAAATAAAGAAAAAATTAATAGTAGAATAGTAAATAGATATAAAAATCAAATTAATATAGAAAATACTAATAAAAATTATATAGCTAAATAATCATCTGACATGATACAAGATTATATCAACTCCTAGATCTGTAGTAACATAGCTAAAATTGTAGAATTACATACTATAGTATGAAAATTAATGATATAATTATAGTCTGTACAGACTATAATTATACCATTTAGTTCAAACTATAATCATCTCAGATATATGTCATGATAATAGAAATGCAATATCATTATCAGTGTTATAATGATAAAAATATGACATCATCATCAATGTCATGATATATATTTTATAACATATTTTTGATAACAAAAATATAACATTATCATCAATATTGTAATATAATTTTTATGATATATTTTTAATAACAAAAATATGATATCATCATCAGTATCATCTGATTTTCATTACTGAGCTGATGATGCATTCAGTCATATATCATCATTTGCAAGTCCAGTATGAGAGCTATACCTGAACTGAATATGTAATACTCTAGCTTTCTGATTAATTCCTTGATAAGGATCAGGTTTGAGATATATAGTATCAAAATAGTATTTGTATTCTGGCTTTGTATGATACATTCAAATATTGATTGAGAATGAAACATATAGTGCCAAATTGTTAATATATCTGATAATATACCAAAGTATCTAATGATAAGACACATAATACTGAATTATTAACATATCTGATATTACATCAAAGTATCTAATAATAAGGCACATAGTGCTGAATTATTAATATATCTGGTATTACACCAAAGTATCTGATAATAAGATATATAGTATCAAATTGTTATCCCTATTTGATAATACATCAAAGCACAAATTTATCTTATTATTTTTCTTATAATATTCTATCTTGATATATTATCAAAAGTTTGCTATATTTTTTAATTCTAGAATTCTTTCTCATATAATTAATATTTTTGAATATTTTGCTTTATGTTAAATAAATTGGATTATATTTTTGATAATCTTGATATATTATTAAATCAGCTACATTTTTGATAATCTTGACATATTACTGAATCAATTATATTTTTGATAATCTTGATATATTACTAAATCAACTACATTTTTGATAATCTTGACGTATTATCAAATCTATTATATTTTTGATAATCTTGATGTATTACTGAATTGGTTATATTTTTGATAACCTTGATATATTACTGAATCAGTTACATTTTTGATAACCTTGATATATTACTGAATCAGCTTGATACCCATTTTTTTTTACTTGACTTGGTGTCCCACAAAAGTATAATTTCTCTATGTAGAGTATCTGTAATAATTATATCTTGGTGGCCCAAAATTTTTTGGCATAAGTTATCTCTACTTGAAGTATACTACTACATACACATTATATCCAAAACTATATCGAGATCAAATCATGTGACACAAAAATGGTTATTGGATAAATTACCTTACATTATATCAAAAGCACTTACGTGAAATTTCAATAAGGTAGGCATGTAAATTGGCACCTGAACCCATCTACCGCGACCCAAAAACCCTCTTTGTATAATTCAGATATCGAAGTATTAATTTTTTATTTGAATTTTTTCTCTTAGTTATTGTAAGAGGCGACAAAAATCCCTTACCCAAAATATATGGCTAGCTCCGCTATACATTAACATAAAGTACATTTCCAACGCCAACATTTGCTTTTGTACTTCTAGTATTTTTCTCCTATTACAACGATATCTACATGACAATTAGTGGAACTGGGGAATGTGATGCCATCTTTCCAACTGGATTGGATCTCAATTTCAGAGGTTCTCGGAACAAATATTTTTCCAATTAGATTACATTTAAAATCATCACCCATTGCTTCAATTACAAAGCCAAGAACCGCCAACCGTAATAATAACTGTCGATAGGCCTTCTTTATCGCTTTACTTCCACTTGATAGCTTAATCTCACCCAATTCAACTGTCATGTCTGACATATTAGAACCATATGTTCTTCCGCGAAAATCAACGTCTAAAACTGTATTGAAAGGTGCCTAAAAAATTATATAATGAACGAGGGTAAGTATACTATACCTAATTCCCAATTACATTAAAAATGTATAAATACCTGGTTATTTTCGATTGCCTTTTCCGCGTCTAATACATACGACGTCATTAACATAATTCCCAATGAGGGCGTGTTTGCCAAATATAATTTGTTATTGGATGATGTTGAATTATGTTCTAATTAAATATAAGACTATAGGTTACTTTTGTTTAGTTTTTCAAACTTAATCTCTAACAAACCTACCATGAGAACGCCACTGTTTAAGAGCAACACCCGCTTTTTCTGCAAGATCATAAAGATTTTTGATGTAATCGCTATCATTAATTGGTAGTGTGCGGATAAATTTTATTGATGATTCAAGTTTTTCTCGCATTCGATTTACCTGTTAAGATTTCGTTAAATAAAAACCATATGTAAAAAGTTTATTTCATAATATTTTATATTCACTTACATAAATATAGTTTGAAAGTTTATGAACCCGATATGACGAAACAAATGCCTGAGAGGAATACTTTGGACTTTCGGATGGAAGTATTTTTCGCGGTAACGCAAGCCTCACCAATCCGTTAAGATCAACAATCTCAAATTTCGAAGTATAATGTGGACCGTGGATTTTTGACGCTTCGGAACGTGCCAACAATTCATATACATCACCTAAAGTTGTTCCCAGTTGATCAATCTTTGTTCTCAGTTGATCGATCTTTTTCATTATACTTCCCGAATCATCTGCACATAAACACAACCAAAAAAAGGAAAAGTTAAGTATAACTTATAACCAAACCAAGAACGGTTATTAAAAAGCCCGACTTTACTTGCGCTGACTAAATTTATTACGACTCACCAGTTTCAACGCGTGATTCTGCGATAACTTGAGCGGTGTTGACTATAAGAAGCAAGAAAGAAAAGCACAAGTTAGTCAACGTCACTGTGAGGGAATTTAATGTGTGGCGTGAGCAGTAAGCAAGAAAAGCTAGGATAATTAATTACCAAGAGGAATCCCAATGATTATATGGATATGCTTGCTTTTCGGTGCGGTCCAGTGTTCTTGGATTTCATCTACCGCCAGTAACTCGTCGTCTAGTACAAGTTGTCCCTGAATAAGGTCCTTGTGATCGGACGGGATTTCTACCTTCCAAAGCTTCGGTTTATTGGCGTCGATACCAGCAAAATCATTTGGTTTCTTTGCCTTTATCGCGTCCTTGAGATGACCAACAGTCAAGCTCCTGTTAATATCGACAGGAAAGGCTTCTGAGGCTTCTGAGGCTCCTTGAAGAATACAAAAGAGAGTGACGGACATAGTTATATATGGTTTTTGTAGTATGGGATAGACAAGAAGACGAAAAAGATGTTTCGTTAATTTTTGGTCGCTATGGGTATATATAAAAAATTTGTTTGTACAAACCCGATCATTCTGTAGACAAATGTCGCATGGATCGAAATGTGATTGGTTGATCATTGATTTTGATAAAATTTCCGTAAAAAGGGGATGGCTAAAGCGGGGGTAATGCATGAAATCATCAAATTAATACCAATTTTTTAGTTAAGTTATTGATATTTTAATATACGCATATAAGTAAAATTTCATGCTGAACATTTTTACTTAGAA